CAGGAAGGCCTTCCATGTCGAAACGCCACATACTGTTGTAAGCTGCAGAGCTTAATTCCATGGCGTATTTCCCGGGAGTGAAGGAGCTTTCGATAATCCCAGCTCCATTTATCAGACTCTGACGTGCAAGCGCATTAATCTCGAGAGTGTAACGCATATGAGGATGAAGGATCTTGAAGATCGGATGCATCGAACTCAGATGTCTGTTAGTAGCAATGATGTATGGCTCCATACAAGCATGTGTCCTTAGCCTGGAAATCACACTCAGACACAGAAAGATATATATATAAGCCGAAGAACAATTTAGCCGAAAAGATACAAAACCCTTCACACAAAAATAAAGATCTCATATCGGATCTACCGTATACAGAGGGAAAAATCCATCACATTCATCTTACCAGTGGTTTACGAGTTGATGAACACCGGCATCATTTGAGCAGACATGAGCTTTAGCTAGGTTCCAAATCCAGTGAGTTGTACCGTCATGCCCGTGGGTATAAACGAACTTGTTCTTGGACTCCGATGTGGGAGGCAGTGAAAGCTCTATAGCCAACGGCCTAAGGGTCCCCGACTTTGAAAAGAAGAAAACTGTTCGGGAAGCGTATGTTTTCCTGTCCAAGGAGTTTATCTTATCGACGAACGGCATGAGCAAGTCGTGGTAATCAAGAAGAAACAATCTCTTCTCCTCGAGGGCCTGCAACAACCGAAAAACTCACATGTCTTAAGGCACCTGATCATATATATATCTATGCATGTATTCACGAAAACGATATCTAACCTTTTCAACGGTCATTCCATAACGCTCAACTTCTCGAGCAATCACTTCTTCCGTGAGAGCGGATTCAGGGGACCCGTAAACAGCCGGGTCAAGCTTGCTTCGAATTGGAAGCTCCTGTCATAGCACAAATAACATTTTACGACTTCCCCAATAAGGAAAAAAAGCCGATAAGACGGTATATGTGCAGATATTAGACAGTACAACACCTTTAGCAGCTCAATGTTCACAGGATTGACCCCAGCCAGTGCTTGACGTGCAAATTCGTTGTCTCGTAACCATGCGAATCTGTCCCCTGTATATTGAAAACAGAAAGCACACGAGATGGGAAAACTATTGAGTTTTCTTTCTGAAGAAACTTGGCGTAGTGATGAATCAGGCAATAGAGTTGGCAGATTACTCTTTATGATGGCTGGAGTGTCATATCTGAATAGTCTTTCTCCGACGTTAAGGATTCCATCCATGAAACCGCCAAGAAACCCGCCAAGGCCCGTTGCTTTTGGCTCGCTATCTCTCAAGACAATGCCGGCTTTGTATAAGTTATCAATGTCGGAAAAGCAGTTAAAGGGGACGTCTGAATTTGACAATGCTGCAGCAATGGATGGCACGAGATTGTGAAGGAGTGCCTTCAACCGTCCAGCTGAAAAAGTATCTCTCTTGATTTCCTCAAAGGCTTCATCTCTCGGAACATAAAATTCATCCTTCTGCTTTCCTCGGGTCTCAAATTGTGGATCTGACCGATCCATGAAATCAAGAACCAAAACCGTTTCGCATTAAGACAAAGTACAAATTTATGGACTTTGATGAATCAAATGCTCAAAGGGATGATCACCTGTTGGAACTGGAGGCCGACCAGTCCTGCACCGTCTCGGATATGGCATTTCTGGACCACCCAAAACGGGTCTCGCTTGATCTGGTTTCCGGGGATCGCCCAAATCGTTATAAACATCGTAATCGTAGATCCTCTCATGAGGCTGCCTCTGTCCATTCCCATCACCACGAACACAGATCAAGTCTTGTTGACGTAGATCTTTGATCCCAGCAGGAGTCTGGGAAGGTAAGTACGCCTTTTCACAGCAGACAGAAAATTGAAGTCGCCACGGAGTTAGGAATCGTTTTCTCAAAACTCAAACAAGAAAGAATCCCGGACAAAGTTGAAAACTTTTTCATGAAAAATAGACTCACTTGACTTCTGAAGATGACCCTACACTCGGGATTATCTTTCTTGGGGTGGATCCATGAGTTTCCAGGGAAGAGAATGGATTCACCAGAATCACGGATGATAATCTCCGACAAGTAGAACTCTTTGCCGAGGAGGTTGGTGACAATAATTGCGGCTGGTCTTCCAAAATCCGAGGGGACAGCGAAATCTGCTGTGTATCCGACAACGTGGGAGTTTTCCAAAATCCTTGGATTTGAAAGGAAAGAGTAGAGATAATAAAAGAAGAGATGTTTCTGATGATGATGCAACTTCATGTACGAACCCTTATTTATAGTGAATCAAGGATGTTCAAAACGTCATGGCATACATCTTATTCCATCAACACCTTTTCATTCCACTTGGCCTAATTTTCCATCATCATTTCACTTCACCTAATCCTCCATCATTTGTCTCCATTATCAACAATAAACACCAAAACGTCGAAAAGACATGAAATTTAGGGGACTATAGTTTATGAATGTGAATATATACAAACATTATATTATACATACTCGGTATGACTCGTGACCAAGCAATCGAAAATCTGTAGGAATCAACCCCCATTTTCTCCATTGCATCAATATCGGCCTGTAAAACACAACGTGCACCTGCAACTTGGTAATATAAATAAGATCCGGAGGCGATATCTCCACCTCCCCTGTCTGGCCCTCCCTTTTCTGTTTGGTATACGAGGTTACATACACAAATATATCATCCGTGAAACATAAATAATGGAGCAAAAGATGTTGAAAGTATTATATACTCGACATAAATGGATAAACTAGAACAAAAAAAGATAGAAATTTTCATCGTTCTTTTTTTTTGGTAATCAAATTTTCATCGGTTTTTGGTGTGAGTTTGATCATATCAAATCCGATAACGCGGAGAGAGAAAACAATTAACTCGGTTTACGATTCATAACTTCGATCTCAATTGTACAAATATAACTTAACGAACCTGGATATCGATGCGTGAGCCCATCCCATATATTCATACCTCTACCTTCAGCACCCTCGACCTTAAAAACAAAATTAAATAAAGGTAGATTCATTGATATGACATTTTTAAGTCTCTCCAACAAATCTTTAAGATCGTCCACTTATAAGAAGTATTAACATTAGCAAGATTAAGTAGAGAACACTAAAGAAGTGTATGTGAATGTTCATGCTTACAAGCACATTATGATATACGTTAAAACTATTCGATCCACTTGCATGTGCATGATTTATACGTCAATGAACACATATAGGCATATAAAATACTATATAATATATATGTGTTGTGGAGTTTTATATAGTGCCTGATAAGCAGAAAAGGCAACACCAAAGTGGAAACCCTCGTCGAAGTTGTTTCTGTTGAAAGTAGAAGTGTTGTTACACCTTGAAAAAGTAAAACTCACACGATATTGTTTTCAAAAACTTTCCAACTGATTCTATTCATTTGTAAATGACATGAATTACAACGAACACAACTCCGTCTGAGTTTGTTCTCCTTGCAACATGAATTCTATCAGCCCATACACTATGTGTGTCACGCACACCCCGTGTAACCCTAGACTCATCTAGACCTTTTGAACGGTTCGTCTGTTATTTGAAGGCTCCCCCTCAGATGCACTTCACTCTCTCTCAAGTATCACTAACCTGCGTTTCCCACACCTATGATTCTCCAGCTCGTTTGCTCTTTTCTCTCTTTTTCTGTTCTGGTGGGATACCTTTCAGTATCTCCCACGTCTTGTATTTATGCATAGCTCCTCTTCTTGTTTTCAATATTTTGCTCAATATCTTGTTTTTCTTTTTCTTGAACTTTATTCCTTTTGCTTGATCTTTCCATTTTTCTTAAATGGTATGTTTCTTTTTCTCTTGAGATCTTCTAGATGTTGAACCTTCTCTTGGTGCTCTTTCCTTGCATTAACATTCTCATCCTTTTTGACTTAATGCTTATACACATTCCTTAACATAATCATCCACTTGGCTCTTCGATGTCATCCTCAATATTTTCGACCATGCATCATTCCTTAGCATCTACAACCATACACCTTTTTTTTAGTCATTTCTCCTCCTATGCATATGACCATGAACCTTCTGAGCCATTTCTCCCCCTGTGTATAAGCATAAATTCAAAACCTTACACGAACATTCGATTGCTCAATTCCGAGTCAGTGTCTTAGGATCCTTGAGAGAGTTTCTAAAAAATTTGGTTGTCAACCCATGTGTAGCAATTGCTTGATGTCCTTTGACCAGTTAAAACACACTTATTATCTGCATTGGTCACAAAAGATACATCCTTTGTAAATTTTACCTCCAAGCCATTATCGCATAGTTAACTTTTGCTGATCAAGTTAGTCTTTAATCCCTGAACTACTTTGACATCTATCAATTTGAGGGAATCATCACACTCAAGAGTCCCTGATATAAGCACAGGTCTGTTGGTGTTATTACGTCCTTGTATTGACTGCTATGGAAGGCCTAAGGGCTGCTCTCCACTGTATTAAGTCAAAACGAAGCTTAAGGAAGAAAACAGAAGCAAACAGGCCAAAGGGCTCTCGTTTAGCTTCCAGGGAATGTGAATGGGTAAGGGGAGGCGAGGGACACCACAAAGAGTGTGAAAGCTCTTTGATACAGTCCAAAACTCGAACCCTAATGCAAGAATGCAAGAGAG